GCGCAATATTCGTGCACAAATGAAAATACACATACATAAAAGCACATAAATAATGCAAGACGAACACGACACACACACACACACACACAAATAGATATGTGTAGCGTGAAATCTTTCACAAAATCTCACAATTACACTACACAAAGCACACACTCGCTTAAGCAGCTTCGGCGTCAACGTCAGCGTCAGCTTCAGCTTGAGCATCTTCATACATAATGCGTTGTTATTGTTGTTATGCACTACTTTTCATTTTGTCTGATTTCACTACTTTTTTCCCGCTTTTTATGTTTTATGTTGCGTTGCGTTAAACATTTTTCTGCATATCTTACGAAATTTGTTGCAATTTCTGAGATTTTTGTTTTTCTTATTTTTGCGGTTGAAAAGTTGTGGGTTGAGGGTTGCCACCCATGTGGTGGTTGGCGGATGGTGTGTGAGATATGGTGGGTTATGTGTAGCTGCAAAATTAATTGGATAAGTTTTTAATTTGCATTTTTAAAAAACAAAATTTTTCCACAGTGTGTGGAAAAAATGAAATTGCCATGCAAAGTTTTCTTACTTTTCAGAATTTTTAAAAAAAATTTCCTTCCTCAATTTATGTCCTTGTGCAGGATTTTTCACTAAACTCGTTGAACGTGCATGACATGATTTCTTATCATTTTATATAATTTATTTTATATAAGTTTCATCAAAAATAAATAACAACAAACAAACCTTTTTATTAGAATGTGAGTCGGGTCTAAAGTATCTGAAAAATACCGCTAAAGTGAAATTAAATTAAAAATACCTTCAAACCAAATATTTTGTTTAGTATTTCATATAAATAATTTTCATTTTAATTATACAAAAATGTATAATTTTGAAGTTATCTTTTAAGAGAAAGTTCAGAAACATGTTGTTAAAATACAACAAAAAATAAATACTTCAAAAAGTTAAGGTTATACATTAATTTTAACTAAAATAAAATTAATTTCCTTTAGAGAGCCCATTGATATACTAGGATAGTTCTTGAATATTAAGTTATTTAAGTTTTTTTTGTTTCTGTGAAGAGTTGGAATGTTTTAGATGTGTACAGTCATTATTGAAGAGTAAGCTATTCATACTTGATTACAATGTATTAAAATTGTATTTGACATATGTAAATCAATATATTCATTTATTAATTAATTCGGATATAGACCGTATATCAAGCATACAATGATAAAGTTTATATTTTTTAGCAAACAACTTAACAGAATGTATCTGACATATAAATATGAAGTACACAGACTAAAACACATTCTCTACGGAGACACTTATTCCCTCCCGGAACCGCTTTCGCATGACTTTGGGAAGTGTCTCTTTCATTTTGGGTATTCAAATCTTTTAGAATATTAAAACATTTTCTAAAACTAAATAATTTTCATGGTCTCAAACTTTTCTAAAAATCTTGGTGATGATTTGATTAATTAAAATATTTAACTACTTAGGAGACAACCTGACTAAGCGAAATTGTGTAAAAGTTTTTTATATAAATATGAAAACTTTTTTATATTTAGAGATTAAAACACTAAATAAATTTTAAAATATTTTATATTATACCAGTTTATAACAGATTTATAAAACATCCTCTATAATGTATTAAATTAATCTACCAAGTTTGTCTACAAGTAATATTAATTAAGTTTAGTTTAAAACAGATATGGAAAATATTTTCTGTATTATTTCTGTATTATATATTATATATTTCTTTTTGCCATATATAATCGAAATATAAAATTTGTTGTCTTAAAACATAATATCTCACAAAGTCAATCTAAATTTATCATATGTTCATTTATCGATATATCTTCTGGATTAATTAAAACATTTCCTAGTGTTATGTTACAGAAAACAAATAAAATATTATATAAAAATAAAAAAATATTACTGGTTTCCAATGAAAATATCCATTTTTAGGAATTTTTAATTAATGTGGGTCTTATACATACAAGAATACCAATATGCTTGTGAAGAAATACTTCACATCGTTGATGAATTTCAATCAAACCTCTCACATATGTTTATTATAATGCACGACAGTACATAAACATAATTTCATTCCGAATTTCAAATAAAAAAGAAGAGTTTTGAATAAAAACGAGAACAAATATAATATAATATTAATATATTCATAAAAATCGATATGGTAAAGTCTTTTTTTAAATTTAAATATGTATAAATAACAACTTTAATTTTTAATTTGCATAAAATATATAATAAGGAAGGACATCCAATTTTAATTTTCTGTTTCAATGATATTTAAAACGGTTTTATTAAGGTATAACTATATTTTTGATAGTAATACCTCAGAAAATATATTTATTGGAGAAGTCTCCAAACACATCAGATTTGCTGATAGATGATATTCTTGTTATAAATGAAAATCATCTTATTCTTATCCTTTTAAAAATCGTAAATTATGACCAACTGAATGAATTTAAAAAAAAAGAAAAGATAGTATACACGAGGTATACTAGCTTTTAGATAAACAAAGCGCAGCGACCACGGATGCTCTTCTAATTTACTCTAACTGGCCTAACCTAGTCTAACTAATCAGGCGATAGTTCGTTCTTTCTAATGGAAGAAATGTTAAAAACATCCTGATCTCAGACTAAAATAGGAAATACAAATTAAACTCAAAAATTTGACAAATTTTGAATTAAGAGTAGCTTAACAACTAAAAATAAAATAGAGGACTTGAAAAAAAGTTAAGTTAAGTCAAGTTAAGTTCAGTTTTAAAGTTGTTCTTATGAATTTATAATAAATACTATAATTACAAACATGCCTTAATGTGTTCGTTAGATTACTGAATATATTTGTCTTAATTAAAATGCATTTAAATTACTAATAGATCAACAGGGTGCAGCATAAGATCTGAACATTCTATTAGTGATATATTGATACCACTCTTGATAATTAAGATCCTAATTCTATTCAAAGAGGTCTCAGTTCTATTCTAAGAGACATTGACTATATTTTTCACTAATTCTCAATTTAGACATGAAATTTGATATCTACTCTCCATCTAAACACACTTGGTTAACAGGAGGGCCATCATCGGGAGAGAGTTTAACCATATACATTGAAGAGTCTAAAATAAGTAAGGGTACAGGCAGTGGAGTTTTTTTGAAGTGAGTAAATAAATATATACTTCATGAGCTTCTTGATCACTGTAGTATTTTTTAAACTGAGGTGAAAGCGATAGCTGTAGCTTGTCTGGGAATGGATAACATATTTTATAGGAATATATATGTAGTATCCCACAATCAAGCTGCTTTAAGATCCCAGATGAAGATCAATTCAATTTACATGCAGGTCAGTTTTTGACTGCTACACATCTTTGAATAAGATGTCAACGCAGTGTAACATTTCTTTACTCTGTGTGTCCAGTCATAAGGATATTATCTGTAGCTGCAAAGCAGACAAACTGTCTAAATAGTGTGCTACAGATAATCACTTGGAATACTTAAAAAATATATATCATTGACACCACACAAACAGTTATCGTGTGTATTTATATTTAATTTCATACAAGGTAAGAATACCTAAGGATACGCCGGCATTTATACGCAAGTTGGCGGCGTTCTTACATATTAAGAAAAAAATCCGGCGATCTCATTGAGGTGCCCCGAAAAAATGTCAATCTTGTGGTTGTTTGTTGATGCATCATACCCATTTCGAGAACCATTCTAGAAAATCGAAATTGTAGTTATAATTCTTAAGCTATGAAATTATTTATTTAAGAGATAAGAATTTAGTGTCTCCAACCAA